CTGTCAGAACGAAAATGATCGCCGCCAACCGCCCCGACTGGGTCCACAACATCACACGCGACCGCCACGCCTGGGACTGGGTGCCCAAGGAGAGGGACCTGAACCTGGCTCCCGGCTCGCGGCTCGCGTACGCGAACCGGCTGAGGCGGCGGATCTTCTTCGGCAGGCCCAGCAACGACCCGACCCGCCGCCACTCGCCGTGAGGAGGGACAACCCTTCCTCGACCGCCTTTTTTTTTCGCTCACCTCGCTGCCTGCTCGTTCGTCTGCACCGCCGCCCTTCCGAGGTTGCAGACCTCGCAGCTGGCCACCACGTTGTCGACGGTGTGCAGCCCGTCGGTGTCCAGGCGGTCCAGCACCGTGTTGTGGGGCTGCAGGACGGTGCCGCACGCCCAGTGGCACTGGAACCTCTGGCGCTTGACCATCTCGTAGGCCGCCTTGGGGGTGACGTAGCCGGCCGGGAGCGCGTCGCCCATGCCGCGCCGCTCGCGGTCTTGGGACATGTAGCCCGGTATGCGGGCGGCTATAGCCCGGTAGTGCAGCAGCGCGATCCGGTCGTCCTCGCACACCCGGATCTGAGCCAGGTCGTACACCCTGCTGATGGCCGTCCACACGAAGTGCGGGTCGTGCATGAGCTTGCTGTAGTGGAGCACGACCAGCCGCCGCGTGCGCTCGCCCTGGACCCGGTAGATGGTCGTGTTGTGCTCCGGGTCCGGCACGCAGCGCAGGAGCAGGTCCTCGTGGGAGATCGCGACCTGCTCGTCCTCCTCGTTGTGCACGCGGAGCTCCCCGGGCTCGAACGTCGCCGCGACGGAGCCGTCCCGGACGTCGAGGCGCAGGACCACCGACTCGTACGCCGTCAGCTGCGTGTTGACGGGCAGGTTCCCGATGCGCCCCCGCGTCATCCAGGTGTGGCGGGCGGGCTGGATCGTGCCGCCCGAGGTCTTGTTCACCAGCGACGCCGCCGTGGCGTTCATCTGGACGATGTTCAGGGTGTCCTCGTACGCGAGGGCCACCTGGTCGATCGACAGGCGGGGGAACTCCTCGAGGACCGCCATGCTCTCCTTGGGGCCCCGGTGGAACAGCCTGTCCTTGTACGCGTGCATCGTCTGCTGCATCTGCGCGCCCATGGTGTGGCTCCCGTCGAGGGCGATCAGCCGCCCCCCCTGGCACAGGCTCTTGACGGCCGTGACGTGGTCCTCGAGCCCCAGCGCGCACCCGGGGGGCTTCGCCTGGTACGGGTCGCCGTTGGCCAGCACGCGGTCGTACCTGTCGGCGTGGAACACCAGGCGCGCGAGGATGTCGGGCGGGATCGTGAAGGCCTCGTCCACGATCAGCGTGTCCACGCAGGGGGGACGCCGCCACTTGTGGCCCAGGGAGCCGGGGGTGATGCCCACGCCGAGCAGGTAGTGGCACGTCACCGCGTGGGGGAACCCGAGCTTGCGGAACCTCCGGGCCCGCGCGTTGTCGGACACGGCCACGACGCACCGCGTCCTGTCCGCCCCGGCGAGCTCGAGGGTCATGTGCGTCTTGCCGCACCCCGGCAGGCTGCCGAGGATCAGCACGCGGTCGCCCGGGCCGTCGGGGGCGGGGTCGACCCACGACCGGAAGTCGGGGTCCCTGTCCAGGAGGACCGGGCGGAAGGTGAACACCCTGTGCGTCACCTCGGCGCGCGTCTGGAAGCTCAGGCACCGCTTCCTCGTCGACTCCGCGACGGCGGGGCCGTCGTGGTACACGCAGTCGGTGCAGATGGCCAGAGGCCGGAGGCCCTCGCTCCGGACGAGCCGCAGGATCAGGCTCACGTTGTAGGCGTTGCGCGCCAGGATCTGCTCGTGGAACGCCCTGGCGGTGCGGACCGAGCGCGTCAGCCTCGACAGCACCGCGTAGGTGTGTCCGTGCCGACCGAGGGGCAGGAGGCGGAGCTTGTCGTGCGCGTGGTTGAACTCCGGACAGCTCTTGTGCAGCGCGGAGATCCATTCCGAGTTCTCGGTGCGGACGATCGTGCGACGCCCCTTCACCTTCCGGCGCCGCATGCACCCGATGGCCTTGTTCACCACGTCCTTGCGGAACAGGTCGGAGACCTCGCGGTCCCTGTACAGCTCCTGGACGAGCCCCGCGGCGTCGTTCAGCACGCGCGCGTACGGTCTGAGCACGTGGGTGATGGGCCCCTGCGGGGGGAACTCGCGGAGCGCGTACCCCTTGACGCGGCTAACCGTTCCCGTGAAGAGGGACGGGTACTCCTCGAAGTCCCTCTGCGTGGGCGCGACGAAGTACCACGCGTCCGGGTCGATGTCGCTCCCGGCCTCGTACGGCTCGGGGCGGCTCCAGGGAGCGAAGATGTCGACGCGCGTCTCCTGCCGGAGGGCCGTCGTGTAGGCCCGGCGGATGTCGATGCCCCGGCACCCGGCCAGGTCCTGGTGGTCCGTCAGCCTGCCGTGCGGCAGGTACTGGCTCGTGGCGTCCAGCAGCTTGCACAGGGGGTCGGGGATGTGACACATCTTCTCCGGCGCGAGGAAGCACCGCATGATGCGGCGGGTCCACTGGTGCTGCCTCTCGTTGGCGACGTCGACGGTCTCGACGCAGTCGGGGCTCGCGCTCACGAACCTCAGGAGGTTGTCGCCCTTGCGGAACGCGATCTCCTGGACCGCGTCGCCCGTGGGGAACAGGGTGGCGCGGGGGTGGACGCGCAGCTCGTCGATGCACCTGTCCAGCAGGTCGACGAGCGGGCCGTAGAACAGGGCGGTCCCGTGGGCATCGGGGTCCCGCAGGAGCGCGACCGCCTCCTCCCAGCTGCCGCCGAAGTCCAGGTCCGGCCCCTTGCGGGACGGCGTTTTCCGCGGGCGGTGGCACTGGCCCGTGGGGCACGCGAAGGCGTGGTCGTCCCACACGTACAGCTGGACCCTGGACCGCGCCCGGTTCCCGCGCGCGCTGCAACCCTGCTCGAACTCGCAGACCACCCTGTCCAGGGGGTCCCGGACGACCAGCCTGATGTTGTTGCCGTTCAGGAACGCGGCGACCTCGGGCAGCGTGGCTGGTCCGCGGCGCGACGCCAGCTTGTTCAGCCACTTGGCGCCCAGCTTCTTCCGGGTGGCCTTGTCCAGGTCCGGGTTCCAGTCGGCGTCGAAGAAGTCCCGGAGGTCGTACCGCAGGGCGTCCCACATGCAGCTCCGCTCGTCCGTCACGCGGCAGGGGCGCTGCAGCCAGTCCGACACGCTGTGGGTGTCCAGGAGCAGCGCCGTGCCGTGCACGCCCGCGCGCGTGAACGTCGCGTTGAGCGCCTGGATGAGCAGGTCGCCGTTGGAGTTGGCCACCACGGGCATGTTGAGGCGCTCGAACCGCATGTGGAGCACCCCGGAGGCCCCGTCCCTGTCGTAGATGTTCAGGAGGGCCTGCGCGGTGTCGCTCAGGCGGACCGCCAGACGGACGGTGTCGAACGACACGTGCTCGCCGACCTCGATCCACTCGTCGATGGTCGCGGACTGGGCGAACCACCTCGGCACGATGACGTAGACGAGGCGGTCGACCGCGCGGTTGACCCCGGGGGCGTCCGGGGACTCCCCGTCCGGGGCGGACCGGAACCGGATCTGCACGCCCGTGACGAAGTCGCGCACGGACCACGGGTTGTTGCCCTGCAGGCGGTCGGCCAGGTCCTCGCGCAGGAACGCGAACTCGTTCACCAGCTCCCGGGCGCGGGCCAGGTCGACCTGGCCCCCGAACACCCTGTCGCCCAGCGGCTCGTGCAGGTCCTCGCGGGTCGAGAGCAGCTCCCGCCAGGTCCGGTCCGCCAGCCGCTGCCGCCGCGTGGCGAAGGGCACGCCGTCGCCGCCGACCTGCCGCAGGAGCCTGCGCGAGACGTAGGTCGTCGGGTTGCCCGAGGCCGTTGACCTCGTGAGGGGGAGGACATTGGTGCGCCAGAACTCCAGGTCGCCGTCCAGGAAGGCGTCGACAAACTGGTTGGCAGTTTCTTCTTCATCCATTTCTGATGGGAGGGTGGGAGAAAAACTGCGCCAAAAAAGTCACACCACCGTGGGGGTTTTTCGCACGGGGAGGGGCCCCGATGTGTGTCTGCTGTTTTTCGCCGAGACCGAGGGGAGTCGGATTTGCCAGGCTCACAGTGTCCCGGCGGGGGGGACGGGGTCCGCCCTTGAGGCCTCCTGCTGCTGCCTGACAAACTCGGCCACCGGGTTGACCCCGCGTTCCAGCTCGTCCCTAGGTTGCGGACGGCTGCTCACACCGCGTCGCCTCCCTGGGGGGCCTCGTGAGACTCGACCATGGGTACGGGCTCCAAGCGCAGCCAGCACAGCCGCATACCGTCGTATGGAAATCCCACGCGAGCAAAATCTTCGTAGCAAGCGATTTCGTATGAGTAGGTGATCTCCCACGGCTTCCGGCACAGGTCCAGCGCCTTCTTGTCCGTGACGGTGAGTGTCTCGTAGTCGTGCCACTTGAACAGCACGCGGTTGCGGAAGAAAAACTTGGGCAGCACCGCGTCCACGACCGTGTCGTACTCGATTGGCCTAAATTTGTAGACCCAGTCGCCGACAGGGTCGCTGCAGTAGCCCCTGCCCCGCATGCAGAAGCGGATGCGCACCGGGGTGACGTACTCGCGCAGGCGGTACGGAACTCTCATTTCGTCCTTTGTGACGACCTCCAGGGTGGCCTCCAGGCGAGCGACGAGGTCCTTCTGCAAAAACTGAAACTGGTTGACGAGGTCCACGCCCCGCTCCGGGTCGAGTTCGACGGCGAGGTGGCCCCCGAAGACCCTGTCCGCCAGGGGCTTGTGCAGCTCCTCGTGCGCGTCGATCAGCAGCCGCCAGGTCCGGTCCACGAAGGCCGCGTGGCGCCGCGGGTCACGCGGGAGCGGCAGACCGACCGCGTCCATCACGTTCCTGAACCAGAAATCCAAATCGCGGCTCAGGAAAGCTTCGAGGTAGACCGTGGTATCCATTTTTTCGCCGTGCAAGTTTTTCGCCGAGACCGAGGGGAGTCGGTTTGCCAAGCTCACAGTGTCCCGGCGGCGGGGGCGGGGTCCGCCCTTGAGGCCTCCTGCTGCTGCCTGGGGGTGCACGGGTTGACCCACACCCCGCGTTCCATCTCGTCCCGGGCCCGGCGCACCGCGTCGGCCACGCGTCGATGCAGCTCCAACGGGTCCGGGGACATGATGCGCGACTGCGACAGCGACTCGCGCATGAGCTTGGCGCTCTCCACCGCCACGACCGGGTTCATGGGCGGGTCCCGCCGCGAGAAGGTGATCTGGCCGCGGTAGCAGTACTTGACGACATCCGCCCAGTCCAGGCTGCGCCTGGCGGCCGCGAAGCCCACCTGGCCGTCGGCGTCCAGAATCTGCGTCACATACCGCCTGCGGCGCCAGCAAGCACGGGGAGTGTCGAGCATGCGCGCTTTTTGCTAGGGGTGTGCGAAAAAAAGGATGCGCTTCCGGCACGCACCGTTCGCGGTCCCTCGCGGCCTCGCGCCTTTTCGCAGGCGACTCGTAAGGCATGGCGGAGTTTGCGTCTGACGCGCCCCCTGACCTCGCATGTGGTATCGTACCCTCGGTCCACGGGCACTTCCGCACCCCCTCTGACCACTGTTCGGGTTTCGGTGACCGCCCGCGAAAAACGAAAGGGGTGACTTCGGCGTGTCACTGACACTGCGAGTGACGAGATGGTGATGAAAAAACAGGACAAGCACGCGATCAAGCACCGCAAGTCTGCGGGTGTACGAGTGACGAGGAGCACGACGAGGAGGGCCAAGGAGGCATACCGCCGCGAACTGCGCAAGTACTGCTCATCCATCCACCTGGAGATCGACATGCGGGCATTCCAGGCCGACGTGAAGGAGATCACACGGGACATCGACCCCGAGCTGCGCATGCAGTCTTCGGCCATCCTGCTGCTGCAGGAGGCTGCCGAAGCTTTCTTGATAGCTAACTTTGAACGCAATGGGTAGCGGCTCTACCGCTTGCGCGACTTCCTCCGGGGTGGCGCCGCTTGTGAGACAGAGCAGGAGCCACTCCTTGGCGTTTTCGAACAGCGCGCCGTGCTAAGGCGGCTGTCAAAAATCGGCGTCAAAATTTGTCAGCTGTGGAGGACCAGCAGTTGAGCCTCCTGTGGCGCGCCATGTTCCGCTTGGAGACGAGCTTGCCGCACTTGGCACAAGGAACCCGAGAGCGCCTGACTTTTTTCTCGGCAGCGACATGCTCCGCGGAGCCACGGAGACGCGCCTGGCGCTGCCTCGCGGCCAGGCGCCTTTTCGCAACCGACTTGTGAGGCATGGTGGGTCTGCAACTGGGTCTCACATCTCTTCTCCGGCGCCAACGACGGGCAAACCCTTCCGCGACCGGCTTTTTTTTGGTCACGTGGATGCTGAGTTGTCCTCTGAGTTGGCCTCTGAGTCCGCTTCATAGTGTCTGATTCTCAACCCAACGCCGTGTCCTGCCGGGAGTCTGATTGTCATCCGAACGTCAGAGCTGCTCTCGCCCACCGCGGCAAACATATCACGGAGTTTCTGGTAGATGTGTCCGAACACAGAGTAGTAATTGACCACCCGCGCACGAAACGAAATGCGGGTGTGCTATCGTCCTGATCAAGGCGGCAGCGTGCTAGGAGTACTCGCGCGAAATGCCATGTGAGCGTGCCATCATGTGCCAAGGGAAGGCTCTGACCTGCAATCAGTTAGAGTGAGTGGCGGGCGTCGTCAGCAACAACGCGGCGAGCCGCGCGAGTACTGGAAGACGCCCGCCAGCCGACGCGCCGAAGTGCTGGTCCACGTCCTAGGCTGCTTGTACCAGGGGGTGTCGGCAGCCGGCTGGGTGACAGCGGTGACTGAGTCTGCGGCATTGTCCGCGTTGTGTGGCGACGCGCCGACGGCTACTCAGCTCTCCTCGTCATCGCCGTCCCCCGCGCGTGGCCTGTCATGCGAAAAGGGATCATACTTTCGACCCAGCATCACGCACGCACGCCGCATCGCGGCCGCTATTGCTCCGCAGGCATCTCCCCGTGCCTGGCCCCCTCCAAGCCCCCACCACACACCCTCCCACCCCGCCTCCGCACTAGCCCCTCGACCCTACTGGGACTACGTGCCCCGCGACGAACGGGCGCCCGCATACCCGCACCCGTGCCCCCCACCGAGCGCTCCTTTCCCACCGCCCCCGCCGGCGCTCTCGGACCTCGCCGCGCTACCATCGGTCACGGCAAACCCCCCGCTTGCGGCGCGCGGGGGGGTCTATGTCCTCTTGTGCCGGAAATACCCCTTCTTTTACTATGTCGGGGAGACATACCGCACAGCGATCGAACGACTGCAGGAGCACTTTGATGCAGCATTCACGCACCATCCGAACGCCGTGCACACCCCGCTTTACGAGTTTATGCGACGAGTGGGGGCGCAGTCGCCGAACGGCCATGTCCCGTGGCGCGACTTCACCATCGTGCCCCTCTTTCGCATCAATTTCGCACGCCAGGTGCCCATCCCGCCGGCGACTAGCCCGGACGCTTTGAAGGCCTGGTTCCACAAGTTCCGCACCTACTCCCTGGCCTGGGAGCAGACCATGATACGCTGTCTGGGCTCCACACACCCCGGCGGCCTCAATTACTGCAAGGGCATGTGGAATTTCGGCTACGGAGCTGGCCACTCTGATGCTGCCCCATGGCCTCTATCCCCCCTGGCGTTCCAAATCGCCGCTGACCCCCACCCCGTAGCGATCCCCCACAACGACTTCCCCGTCCCGCCCGGCCCGAGTGGGCTCCCAGCGCTGGCGACCCTCTTCCAGCCAACGTTTGCCATCTCCTCCACGCATCAACGTACCATCCACCTCGACGCTGACAACTGCCTCACAACTACGGCACCAGCGTTGTCCCTGCCCCCCGCTATCGCAGGCATGTCTCCGCGCCTCGGTACACGCGAGTATATCTAACAGACTCGCCTCCTTCTTGACGTTGTTTTGTTCCGCCGCGCCGGCGACACAGAGCTCGATCATTGGAGACGCGCGGTGAACCATTGCACGGCAGCGAACATCGGAAAATACCTCTTCTCCCTCCATCACTGCGTGTCGCACATGCATCCCGATGCGCTTAACCTGGGTCTCGACGAGCCCTTTTACACACAGCAGATGTTGGACAGTGCCCGCACCGTTTTGCAGGCCGCCATCAACCACCACTACCCTCCCGTCGCAGACATCGACCTCGCGAGCCGTACCCTCATGATCCACGACTTCCCTACCCCCCTGGCTAGCCTCGCCCCCCTCGAAACCCTCGTCAATAATGATGACTTTCTCAACCTCTTACCTGAGCGTATCCGCGAAGGTATGGATGGCTTGTTTCTGGTGGCCCCGCGCTATTCGGTCAGGTTTCCACCGCTGTCGCGCTCGGTGTGCACGCACAGCGGAGTTGCCAAGTTTGCACGCAGTCGCCTGTACGACATCATGGCGACGCAGTGCGACTGTGCGCAACACCAAGGACCGGACCTACGACGCCACTTCACGCTCGAGGACCCCTACTGGCAGATCGACGGCGAGCCTGTGCGGCACCTCTGCACGCTGGACCCTGCTGCGGCGGGCATCCAGAGCACCGCGTACCGCCGTTTGTTCGCCGTCGGCGGTGCCAAGCACCGACACGTCCCGGAGCTGCACCAAGCCACGAGCGCGACCGTAGCTAGCATCGTTGAAGCCTACCAGAAGCCGCTGCTCGGGTGGACGAAACGCGTCAGCAAGGCCGCCGACATGGACGCGGCAGCGTGCATGCCGTACATTGATGCTATACTTGCTGCTACGCAAACGGCACTCCAACCCGCTCTTCAACCCGGGTTCCGCCTTCCATGGCCCCCGCCGCTGGCGGACATTCAGCCCGACGATCGCGTGGCTCTGCGGCGAGACGCGACACGCCTCACCATCACGACCATGGACAAGAACGCCGGGAATTTGGTTTTCGTGTGTCGGCGCGCCTACATCGAGGTCCTCCTGCACGACCTGCACAGCAACGACGCTTTCGCTGTCAACGAGCCGGCAAATGCCAACATCACGCATGCCAGGCACGTGGTGAACGTCGCTAACACGACGGAGGCTATGTTGGACAACCTGCAGCTACCAGGAATACGCACCGAACGCGAGTGCGGTGGTCTACCGCACTACTACGGGACGATGAAGCTTCACAAGGCCAAGGTGGACGTGCGGTACATCTCGGACTGCTCGAGCGACATCACGCGCCCCGCAGCGCAGCTGCTGACGAAGGCCCTCGGCGCGCTCATGTGCCACGCCACCCTCGTGGAGGTCTGGAGCTCCATCTTCGACGGCGTCCCGGAGGACCTCTGCAGCAGCTTCGCGCCCTTCTTGGTGGACTCCAGCCGCGGCATGCGTGACATGGTGACCGCGTATCTACATGACAACCCACCACGCTCAGCGATACATGCTCAACAACCACCTCTGCTGCTGGGCGCCGACATCAAGCGGCTCTACACGCACATCCGGCACGAGACGAGCGCGGACCACGGGACCGGCCTCATCGACTGCGTCATCGAACACATCGACGCTGTTTTTGCACTGCATCCAGGGCAACACCTCCTGATCGACTTGCAACCCGCGTTTGACGCGAGGGAGACGTGGTGGTGGGTGGCGCAGCTGCCGGACGCGGACGGCATGGTTGGGAAATGGGCACCGAGCATCGAGCAACTTCATGGTCTCGTGCACATCCTCGTCAAACGCGCCTACGTGGTGTTCGGGGGCGTCGTATATCACCAGACCTGCGGTGTGCCCATGGGGCTCTCGGCCTCCCCCCACCTCGCGAACTGCTACATGTTCCGGCATGAGCTCGCGTTCCTCTGCCAGTTTCGCGACCGCTGGTTGAGCACTGGCGACGTCGCTTGGCTGAAGGTCTTGGGGTCTTTCCGTTATTCCAGGCGCTACATCGACGACAATTTCTCTCTCGCGAACGCACTGTACCGCTACTTCAACACCCACCCCCGCCCCCCCACCCCGCCCCCCGAAACCCCGTCGTCGATCGTAGATCTCATCTCTGGTATACATAACATGTACCCCCCCTGTCTTGAGGTCGAATTTGACGCCCCAGCGAACCCGCTCGACGGTGTCTCCTTCCTAGACCTCCGCGTGCGTCCGCATCCCGAATATCAGGGCTTCCTCCTGATCTCGCACTATGACAAACGCGGTCTGTTTCCTGAGAACATTCACCTCATACAGTACCCCCACGCTTCGTGTGCGCTGCTGCGACGACACCTTTACAACATCGTCCGCACCGAACACATCCGCGTGTCCAGCGAGGTGACTGACCGCGACAGCTACGTAGCCAAGATGTCGGCCATGATGCGCTACATGCGTACGCATCGAGGTTACTGCATGCGACAGGTCCTGGCGATCCACCGCGCCGCCTGCCGGACGCACCCGAGCCCGCATTTTGGCCCTGCCACGCCGGCGGGCCTGGCTGACCTCGTGCGTCGCCACGTGCAGTTTGCAGACCATACTGGCCAACCTGCTGACAGGGCGTGCCCGGCGCC